AATAGTTTGGAGATAGGGTCTAGTATGCCTACTATACTGAGCCATGACATCAGTGTAATTATTTTTCCCTAAGGTAAATGTCTTATGTTACAAATTCTTCCCTTGCCAGGGGCCCCAGGCCCCACAGATGTTCAGATAGCAACGCGCTTGAGTTCTCAACACCCAAGAGGTCTCTAGGAGCTCTATTCCTATCCCATACCTACAGCCCCAATCAATTGCTGCTTTTCTCGTCGGGTGTTTGTTGTCCCCTTTCACCTGCCAGAGGCTCTTCCCCCTTTGTGTTTCTCAAAATGGTCAATGAGGCTTTGAGAGGCAAGGTGTGCCCTTGCAGCAGACCTTTTGCTGGTTTCTACTTCTGCTGCACTCGAGTTTCTCTCCTGTGCCGGGGCCAGATTTCCAAAACATGTCGATTAAGCAAACGCTTCCTGCTGGGAAAAATACCTGACATTGATCTGCAGCCCTACAGTAAGATCCGGTAAAGGAAGGTTCAAATAAGCAGAGATTCTTTTGGGATCTCCTAATTAGAAATCCCTTTCTGAAGAGTTCATATGGTTCTGCCTGATAAGAAATTCTAGATGTTTCGTGACCCCTTCCCCCATGTTTTTTACAAGTCAAACTCCTTAAGATCAAACGCATGGTAATGCATATTAGTTATGGTATTTATTACATAGGAAATAAACTAAATTAAGAGTGATCATACCACCTCAACATGTTCCCCAGCATTTGCTCTATAATAATAGATGAAAACAAATTATATAAAGACATTGCATTAGAGTTAATAATTTAAGTCACAAATGACCATTGAATATACTTATTTTAAGCACAGCTTTTAAAAAAGGTTGCTACTCATTTCCAATATGAGAGTGGGATTGTCCAGATGAAAAAAGCTGTTAATTATAAATACCATTGCATTAGAGTTAATAATTTAAGTCACAAAAGACCATTGAATATACCTACTTTAAGCACATACCGCTATTTTATATGAGTAAGTGAATTGTGAAAGCAATTTTAAAGGGAAACTCGGAATCTGCTACCTATATTGTTTACTATTAAGCCACAGAGAGTAATGGAAATAAATGGTCATGTCTGGTTTTGCTTACAAAAATTAATTACTACTAAGGTTACATAATTATGGGTCATGCTTACAATATGATTTATTTAAAATGAAATATTTAACAATATTAGTTAAGGTATTCCCATGTAATTCTCTATATTTACTATAGGAAATAATACACATGTATTGACGTAATGAAATGGCAGCATGTCTTAAAAATAAATGCAGCAGCATATGTTTCTGTATTATAGAAAAAGTGTAATACTTAATAATATAATGATACTTCTGTCTATAATATGAGAGATATACCAGAGTACATTTGGAAACACAGATTGGAAGTAGAGCCCACTTCTTAGGAGTGCTTATGTGAAAATAGTACCTTTCTATAAAAATCCAGTATTCACATTCAAGAATTATTCCTTTTGGTGTTAGTCAAACTACAAAGTGGATCGTGTTGTGCAGTTGTTTCAGATTTTTATAAGTGTAAATATATTACAACAGAAACTACAATGCAAAAAGAAATATTAAAAATATATTTCAGTTGAGAACACTTACTGGTGTAATATACTTTTAGAACTGACATAATGTACCTAACCAACCATTTAAAAATGGAAAGTAAAGAAACACTTTAAGTTTAATGCATACGATTAATCTTTACTTGGCTTTGTACTGACTTAAGATAATATAATTCCCATTAAATTATTTTCATGCTTGTGGTCCTCAACTAGAGGAAGCCGTTTTCAAAGGAATCTTTTTTATTTCATGGAACTCCTTAGCTGAAACCTATAACCTGGCCCAAGGAAAATCAGGAAAATTTGAACCGAGTGTAGTATTAGTGCAAAACATGCCATTACTCGGGGTAGAAGATGGGAGTGTTCAATCTAAAAAGCTGCAGACATTGGAAGCCTGAGCTTCCAGGTTTAGTTACAATAGACATTTCACATCAGCCCCTGTCCACAGTATGTTTAGGTAATTAACACTCATTTCAGCCAACCATCATTCTTTGTCTTCAACAGATATCCCAAAGGAATACAAAGATCTGTCTCATTCTTCTCGCCCTTCCTTATACAACTGACAAATGTTAATGGTTAGTCCATCAAACTGTGTAGTGCAGAATGTCATACAAGCCACTCTGTCATCTACAGTTTGTTGGTGCTGGTTTCATCTAAGGGGAAACTCAAAAAGAAAAGGATGTCAAGAAGTTAATAAGCTGCCAAGAGAAAGATATAGGTATTTGATACACGGTGTCTACAAGACAAGGCTATAAAGCCTGGGATGCAGGTTTCACGTTAGACCTCAAAAGTCCATTGATAAAAAATAAAAGTGAGGGTTATTCCACAGGGAAAATCTGAAATTTTGAAATTTGGTACATAATGATTCAGTTTGACAGTACCAAAATGACTGCTTGTAAGGGATTTTGCTGGATATCTCTCCATTTACCCCACAAGATAAAAGAGATAACACAACAGAAAACTATATACTTTCTGGCACCACGGAGATCATTTCAAAAGCTATGGAAGCTGTGGCAGTGGTTTAATTGGAAACCACAGGTTTGCCAGTTAACAATAAAGCTGAAAGTACACGTGAACGATTGTTTTGCAAAACCAGAAGAAGTAAGTATGGAAAAACTCCGTTGGATTTCTAGTTGACAACAAGCCAACTAATGACTTGATGCTGCTCCAATGTCAGTATCTTAGAGGGATAGTTCCAAAGTTTTTATTAAATGCAAAAGTAATAAACTTTTTAGAACAAAGTACGACTGGCTGTCTTTGAAAAACAGAAAGCAGGATGACTTTTAGGAAGTAATAGATGAATCCTACAAAGTAAGTAATATATTGCAGTCTAGTAGAATCACACAAGACAGCAATTAGTAGAAATACTGGCCTGATGCTATGAATACAATTTGCCAAACTTACTACCTTGCAGACCCCGTGTTTCATTCATTTGTCAAATTCTTACTTCGTGTGTACTTCCTTAAAAGCTCTTAATTTAATTTTCACCTGTTTATGCTTTCAACAACTTCACTTTCACACTACGACTGCTCCCATGACATCAAGGGCTAAATAAAATCTTCAGCTTAGTAACAAAAAAAAAAAAAAAGATCTTTTCTTACTAATACTTTCAGTAACTCACCTTGAATGGCAGCCCTAGTGTGATTCATTGACATTCCTGGGCTCTTAAATGAGTTGAACCCATCTCTCAGGAGAAGAAATAGGACTGTCTTTGTCTGGGCACAACAGACAGAATCATTCATCAGGAATCTTTGAAATATGCCTTACTGTTCCCAAAGCAACTGATTTTCCTCCCTTCGCTTCAGACTTTTATCAGAGCAACTTGGTCAAAACTCTTAGGAACTCATACAATAATATCTACAATCAGTTCAGACTCGGCTGCAGAATTATTTTTGGCTTGTAAAGGAGAAGGAGTGAGATTACCAGTCCCTTCATCCATGATGACTGCAACTGATTTGGCAGCTCTAACTAGACTTTCAAAACTAACCTCTCTGATAAACCCCTGAAACTAAATTTTTCTAGCAAACAAACTAGCAAATTTTGGCTGCCTCCAAATTAGCAGGATCCAGATTTCATTGTGCTTATCTCTTTGTGTGGAAATCTCTTGACCTATTTACATCTCCAGTTCTGACTCAGGTTTCTCTTTGGTGGTTGTGATTAAAAAGGAAGTACGGCAATCACGTTGAATTAAAATAAATTAAAGCTGTGCACTTTCCCAATTAGACCTTTTGTGGGACATCTTTCAACAGGAAGACAGACCCATCCATCACTCTGAATTGCAAATACACTTTAAAAGCTTATAATTTAAAATTTCATAATTAGTTATCATGGGTGTGGTTAGAGTTGCAAAACGTTGTCTCCTTATGGGTGCAGAGCTGGAGCACTTGAATCTACAACAGTCACTTAGTTTTGAAAGGCTGGCAAACCCTGAGTTAAACTCCAAAACAACTATCAGCTTGTGAATAATCACATATATAAATTGAATTTGAATTGTTAATTATGTACTCTGTTTATTTCCATGCCTCAGCTTCTCTCCTTTGTATTACCTCAAGAGCAACAAATGAATCTATGGCTTATTCTTCATTTACACAAATACAATTTTAGGCATAGTAATATTACATACATTTTTAGAAGCCAAAGAGAAAATTGCTTTCTATTTTAGTAGACAGGGTATTTGCATTGTCACAGTACATTACGTGGGTTTGATGCTCAGCATATAACTGTACTAATCTTTGTGGCAAACATAGTAACAAAAGAAAGTTGTTCGGAGATTTTTCTATTTTTATTTTCAAAAATAACAAAACCCTTTCCATGGAAGGACCACATGTAAAACTATGGTTTCTCTGCACACAGGCCAAGGCTGCTTATTACCTACAGTATACTAGCTATGATGAACAGACCACCATAGTTGTGACAACTGATGTTGCTGCCTCCAGGGTAAAACAAAGGTTTACATATTACACAAGCAATTTAACTGTTTTCTAAACATATTGCCAAGACAGTGGGAGTTGGCAGCCAGCACTGTGTTTTAGGTTTTGGATACTTGGATTAGAAGTGACTGCTGATTATAGACCTTTTTATTTGTCTTCTACGAATTACAAGCAACCTAGTAACCCAGCAAAGAATCCTTCACAGCACTTAAACTTGTCTTCATGGCTTCCCGAAGATTACATACACAAATCACTCCACAAAAGTGGCGTAAGAGACTTGTGCATAGATAACTACATAAGACAATTGTCTTGTTCTAACTCTTAAAGACTTCCCCAAAGTGAAATGTTTTATAATCCTTTTTGTGCAGTAGTCAGGAAAGAAATAAAAGAGTTTGGGCAAAGATTATCCACAAGAAAGAAACTTTTTTTTTTTGGGTTCCAGCTGAAACACAATAAAGAACATAATTAACTTCACAATTCTTTGTGTTTTTCATTTGACTGCAGGGAGGAGATGAAAGAGGACTGTTAAGCCTTGCATTCCATCCCAATTACAAGAAAAATGGAAAGCTGTATGTGTCTTATACCACCAACCAAGAACGGTGGGCTATTGGACCTCATGACCACATCCTTAGGGTTGTAGAATACACAGTATCCAGGTATCAGTAGAAGTCTAAAATTCACAAATTCTGAATTTCTCAGCAATCTTTTCATTTTAATATTTCCCATTTCTAAAATGAACTATCAGATTTACAATGTGTATACTTGGGCACTTGCAGAAAAAATACTGCTGATTTTATTTCAAACAGTAGTTCTGGAATGCCAGTAAGTACACTGGTTTATTCTTTTTAAGACTTTTTTTATTTATTCTGTCATTTTTTAATTATAGTTGTTTCCTACTTATTGTGCATAGGCAGCAAGATATTTTTTTGTGAATGCTGGAAAATTGAAATTTCTCAGAAATAATTGTTTGACGTTTTTCTGCCAAGTTACAACATCCACGTCTTAAAGTAAAATTTGAATGACTCAATTTTATTTTTAGAAAGAAGAGCAACGATAACGAATTGTGAAAACTGTGTTCATATCTTTATATTACAGGAAAAATCCACACCAAGTTGATATGAGAACAGCAAGAGTCTTTTTAGAAGTAGCAGAACTACACCGAAAACACCTAGGAGGACAGCTTCTGTTTGGCCCAGATGGTTTCCTGTACATTTTTCTTGGAGATGGCATGATCACTCTAGATGACATGGAGGAGATGGACGGTTTAAGGTACAAAATCTACCAATGGATAGACTTCTATTATTGTCTTCTGGTATTTGAGGTCAGAATCAAAAGTGTCCATCAGTTGCCAGGACAAATCTCACTCCCCCTTCCTTTACTACCTATTTCCCCTAGTTTCAGTGCTTGGGTTTAGCAAACTGCTGATTTTCAGAACAGTCTTATTGCTTAAATATATCTTTTTGTAATTGTGTGCTATCAAAGCATTTAAATATTGGATCCCTCACCAGCAGATGCAATTGTATTTAAGCACAGGTTAGACTTCTTTGTTCCAAACTATTATTCCATGAAGAAGGCAATTTATTGAGCAAACATCCTAAAAACACAGGTTAGACTTCTTTGTTCCAAACTATTCCATGAAGAAGGCAATTTATTGACCAAACATCCTAAAAGAGTTTCTACACAGACCAGAGTCAACAACAACACAGTATCACTTAGGAAAATGCCTAGAGAACATATGAAGCAATCCTGCTTTGGTTCCACCTGTACAATTTTCTCAACCTGCCTTTTCCCTCTGTTTCATTATGCTTGGTTAGAGCTGCAACATCTACCTTAATTTAGAGAAAGTGTGGTACTGAGCTTTTACAGACCTAAAAGGAGTTTCTCTGCTCGAAGGCCTCTTTGGCTCAGCAGAGCCTCAGGTGCTCCTGCCCCTTGCAGTGAGGACATAGGTGAAACCCAGACCAGAGAGCAATTCTAATACTTAGTTTTAAATTAACGTAAAACAAGGGGAGACTGAAACAGATTCACGATGAAGAAAGGAATCAGTTTAAAATATCACATCTATTCATGTTTGTAAAAAGAGTTTTGATGCTCTTCTACATTCTTGTCCTTCTCCGTTCCTCCATCACAATCATGAATGTAAGGCAAAAGATTTTAGTAATACCAACATCTCCATTCAACCAATACAATTACCTTCTTTTCTTTTTTTGTTTTTAATTAATGTACAATTAACTTTGTATGGTACTGTGACTAGATACCATTGAATTCAAGAGCAGGATTCAAAGTGTTACCAAAAAGCATCTTGTAACTACATGGTGATTATATCCATAGTTACCCTAGAGGAGGTACAGTATAAAAGAGTTGATAGTCTTATATTTGAAGCCATAAACCAATGATGATTTATGGAAAGTTGCTCTTATTTTCAAGTTGCTTCCCAACAGCTTTCTCAGAGGCATTCTAGTATGCACATAGCAAGGCAACAGAATGGCCAAACTGAATCTCTGATAGGTTCTGCTACTATTTTTTGACTTGCATGTACCATAAAACCCATCTAGATGTGATTATTCAGTAAAGTGGGTGGTTTATTTTGCTGGTTCACTGCAGTATTACACGGATTAAATCTACCAGTAAAATACTTTTAAAAACCAATTATTTTATCTTCCAACTTTCTCAGTGATTTTACAGGTTCTGTATTGCGTCTTGACGTAAATACTGACCTCTGCAATGTCCCCTATTCCATACCACGGAGCAACCCACATTTTAATAGCACAAACCAACCTCCTGAGATTTTTGCACATGGACTCCACAATCCAGGCCGGTAAGTAAGTTACAGTTAAACTGAATTACTCTGGAGCAGATACTGTTATCAACCAGAAATCTTCTATACAATCAGATAATAAAATTTTAGTAATAAAGGCACTAGTGAACTTTTTAAAACTTCCACTCCTCCACCTGCACAAAAGTGTCCCAGTCAGAAACTTCCCCAGCAAAGGGCAAGGAGAAAAGAATTCACGACTATTGACTATTTCTGTCATTCTGAAATGACAGACAATAAGTACAGGACTTAGGGTTTTAGGAATAATAAAATTATTACCTTTATGAAAGAAAAGAACTTAAAGCAGAGAGTGGGTAAAATGCAGCTGAGATGGGAATCTGAGAAATTAGAGCAGTAGAATCTTGACTGAGAAAAAAAAAAGGCGCATGGAAAACAAACGAGAACATCTGGTGATATCTAAACAATAACAAGGAGGAGAACAATGCTTTAACTAAACAAAACATAATTCAGCAAATTAGGTGGGTGGTAGAACTGAAGTGACATTTAAAGTCATGGTTTGAAAAAATTCAGAAAGTCAAGTTGTTCAGATAAGGAGTTGATTCTTGGCCTTTTTAACAGGCCAAATTCTTACACCATATAAGTCGACTCACTCAGCTTGGTTAAAGCACTATTCATTTCAGGTGCTGCATTTCAGCAGAGTACATTTTATCACTAGGAGAAAATAGTTTTACTTCACATTACATGAAAAATGGTGCAGGGATGGGAAAGGTATATTATCTCTTATATACACATCTGACACACTCCTCAGATGTTTTGGCTCAGTATGAAATAGGTCCCTCAAATGAGTAGGCACCACAAAGAAACAATAACCTTGCAAAATATGATGCTTCATACTATTGATAGAGGATCATTCATTATGAGCTTATTATCTCACAGATTTTCTTGTATTTTTTGTTTTACAGGTGTGCTGTGGACCGCCACCCAACAGATGTAAACATCAATTTAACTATACTTTGCTCAGATTCCAATGGAAAGAACAGATCTTCAGCAAGAATCTTACAAATAATAAAGGGTAAAGACTATGGTAAGTTCCAGCGAGGGTAAAGCTACTGGGAACAGTCGGGGTTTATTTTATGCCCATGGAATAACAACTAGAAAGCAGAAAAAAGTAGATAAGGGACTGACCACACAGGGCATGATAGGTAACTTGCTGCATAGATAGGATAGGTAACCTACAAAAGACTGAACTATTAAAAGTATGGTACAAGCAGATAAAAGATACAAGACAAAACAAAACTTAAGTGACTCAACTTTGTTCTTGTTGGTGTAGAATATCGTGTAAATAAGATCTAAGAAATATGCCAGTTGCTAGTCTGTCAAAGATCTCACTGTTGCTGCATATGATGGCTCATAAAGAAAAGATTTTGGAGTATCAGGAAGTGATGAAAATGTATTCTTAGTCATTCACAAATAACCTTTTAAGATACAGAATGGAAACCTCATGTAATGTGCCTCCTATAATGGAAAAAGTGAAATGGACGACAACAGACCACAACCAAACAGGGAAATGACTGAGCTTTGTTTAAATTTTACTGAAAATTAAAAACATAGAAAAATGCACTGTGCTGCTACTTCATAATAAATGACTAGTTTAGATGAGATTGCAAAAAGATAGACATACTCAATTAGGGACTTAAAATTTTGAAGTGTTTCATGTGCTCTCTGAATCAGTATGATTGTCAATCAGAGTTTTAGTTTAACGTTTAACTCTGATGCTCACCAAGATCTCTTCCTAGTTCAGGCAAGCCGGGTGACAGTTACTCTGAGCTATCATTTGGCTTGGCTGACCATTTAACAGCTCGTAAATTCATGGTGGTAAAAGGTGATAAATGCCAAAGGTGTGTAAAGACATCAAAAACCGGTCTGTCTCCTGGAACATGGCATTTTCTGATTTTATTCACAACCCTACTTCTCCAACCTGTACTTTACTTAAAAGCAAAGCAGCTGTGCTGGCTAGTACAATAGTGTAATGCAATTGTTCTACTTTAGTCATTGCATGTATTTTCTGTGTTCATTTTATAAAAGCCAAACCAAAGAATAATATTTGGTAAACCACTGCTCCAATGGAATTTTGACTGCATCTCTATTGCAGAGTAAACTAAGCAATATTGTGTCTACCCAGAACATCTTGCCAATATTAATACTAGGCTACGGGTCAATTGCTTCAATAAAAAGAGCTCATCCTCCTTTTCTCCCAGATAAACTTTCAGCTCTTACTCTTGCAGGATAATCTGGGAAATTCACTTATCAAAGACTTGCAGGTAGCCCTCTGACTTAAAAAAAAAACAAACCTTCCTATTAAAAACAAGGTATATTGACGGTGGCTTTAATTTAAAATTATGTAGTTAGCATGTCAAGTTGAGCCTATTTTTGCACTAAGCAGTATTTGATTGCATGAATAGGAACATTTACACTGAAACTTCCTCGAAGACATTATTTGATATGACTGAACTCTGCAGTTTTAAAAAAAAAAAAAAAAAAAAAGGAAAAAAAATGTGTAGGAACTGAAACTACAACAGCAGCATAAAATAAAATACCATAAGAATCTATGGCCAGCAATACTAGGGTTTTATGGGACGTAACACATATACAATGTTTAAAACTCTGATTTTGAAAGAGTTTCTCAAACCACTGAAAAGCTTTGAAAGCAAGTTCTGCTGAAAATCACTGGAATTTCTGCTCTTAGATACTGGAAGGACTTTCCAGTGAAGGGGGTTTCATTGTATTCCTGAAGTTCAGGAGGGCCGTTCTGCAGACTGTATTGACACATAAAAGTTAATAGCAGTAATCACATCAACATCAATGAAAATCCAACCTAATCCTTATATTCTTCCAGCCTGTGCACTTGGAAGAAAGCAATTATAGCCTCTCCTATCTAAATCCCTAACCGATTGTTTCACAAACAGCTTTTGTTGTAATTTTTTGATTTTTTAATGTTTCATTTCCGGCAACACATCTTGAATTTTGCGGAATATTTAAACAGAGTTAACCTCTTTCCTTGAAGTAATAACATTTTCATAAATGTGAATCAAAATATGAAACTGCATATGATCTAATGCTACGGTAGTTCCTTTTTAGAAAGTGAGCCTTCACTTTTAGAATTCAAACCATTCAGCAGTGGATCCTTGGTTGGTGGATTTGTCTACAGAGGCTGCCAGTCTGAAAGACTCTATGGAAGTTACGTGTTTGGAGACCGCAACGGGTAGGTTTCTTACAACTCACTCTTAAACAAAAATGCATATAAGGTATATTTAGTCATTGAGCTTCCTGTATAAAGGAACACCAACAGTCTTGTATAGCATGTTGCTTTGCCAATTTAGAGGTGTGATAATGCAGATTAAATTCTAGATTTGGAAATAAAATAGCACAGCATTCTAAGGAATGGCAACATATAAGGTATATTTAGTCATTGAGCTTCCTGTATAAAGGAACACCAACAGTCTTGTATAGCATGTTGCTTTGCCAATTTAGAGGTGTGATAATGCAGATTAAATTCTAGATTTGGAAATAAAATAGCACAGCATTCTAATAAGGAATGGCAACGTGTAACGTATCTGATCCCTGGAATAATGTATAGGCAAAGACACTCAAGGCACTCTAAGAGTTTTAGTTCTACAAACACTTGTATGCATCATTTACATTATAATGGGAAGAAATTTTAATTGTGGAACTGTTTCCCAAACAGGTCTAACTGGTAAGGTTTTTACAGCTTTTGGGGTTTTATGGAAACATCACTGACGGAGCAAAATGATTTTTTTTAATTAATGAATGGGTATAGTTTTCCCGTGCCAAATAGCTCAGTATTCACAAATGGCTATATAGTATAGCTTGAACCCAATTTTGGAATGTTTGAATGACAGGAAGGGAAATGCTGTTCTTTATAAGCATCTGAAAATTAGCAGGCAGGAAATCATAAGATGAACTGTACAGAGATATCTATGGAGCTACTTGCAAGTGTTTACTTATTTATCTGGACAGTGAAAACTCTCTATTCAAAATGTAATATAACAATTTGCTTTATGTGTTTTTGGATATAGAAATTTTTTAACACTGCAACAGAGTCCTGCAACCAAACAGTGGCAAGAGAAACCCCTCTGTCTTGGCAACACTGGTTCATGTAGAGGTTTCTTTTCAGGCCCTGTCTTGGGATTTGGTGAAGACGAATTAGGTAAATAGAAAAAATGTTATTAAATCATAAACCTTATCGGTAATGTCTGCTGAACTATTCAAAATTATAGTAAATGTTTAAAAAGAAGAAATCTAAAAACTGTCTTTCCTTTGCCAAAGCTTTCTACACTGCTCTCAGCTCACCTTATCAGTCTTGTAAGAACCGAGAAGAGAATGGGTTGTTGGAAGGGCAAAGGTCCTTACTGTCTCTCACGTTCTGTGAACTGTGTCACTCACTGTGACACCTTGTGTCATGGACTTGCTTTTATCCCCAACATTACAGACCTAATAGGAAAAGATGCTGCATGAGCAGGCCAATCCCCCTCTTCTCCCTCCCCAATTTTATTGGTTTTAACCAATTCTATACAGTATGAAACAAAAACCATTCATGATAAAGTATCTTTCACATTTTAGCATCAATTTGGGGAAAGTGCTTGTTTAAATTTTCAAATAGCAATGATTCTGTTACATATTTCAGTGATGAGTATTTCTTCTGAAGCTTTCTTAACCTCATCCTGCAAATACAGCTAGATTGCAAAAGTCATGTTTTTGACATCTTAGAAAACTAATTTATTGCACTGGTTTCTTCAACAGGTGAGATTTACATATTATCAAGCAGTAAAAGTATGACACAGCCTCACAGTGGAAAACTCTACAAGATCATTGACCCAAAAAGGTGAGCATCCCATTTCTCACTAAGATCAGTCTTCCCTTCAACAGGTTAAAACCCAAAAGATAAATGTAGTTCTTTCCAGGTAGCTGAATTACACAATACTGACATTCAATAAGAAGGGAAATTCTCGACACAGAGGTCTTCCTAAAAGCAAATGTACACCAGCAGCAAGCAGAATAGATTCACTAAAAGTAACCACTGTCTCATAGAAAATGAATGTCAGAACAACAGAGGTATAACCAACACTAACTTCTGGAAATCTTTACTCTTCAACATTATGCCAAGTGCTGCCCGCTTTTCCACCTAGATTCACATTCTTGCATGTTTCCATAGAAGCATAGACATATTTAATGTGGAACCATATGGACCAGTACAGGTAAAAAAGATGCTCCTGGTAGTTCTGAAGCCAAATGACTTTTAAGTACCAAAGAGGTTACGCAGCATCAATCTCTCCCAAACATCTCTTCTGTTGTACAGGATATACCACAAAAGGAGAATAACACAGAGGACTGAATCCTCAGTTAGTGAGTGTCACTGTTCACTAGTTCTCACCATCCCTCCATCCCCCTGCATTTACCTGTCTCTCCCTGCAGAGGTTTGGAGCACCTTCTGTCCTTGGGCTGTGTGCCAAAACCACACTGAATTCTTTCACAGTTCTCAAAGCACCGTTTCCAAAAGGCTTATAAATCCCACTCAAATGATTTATGAGGCACAGAATTAATGTGATTGGTTTAATTATTTAGACTAATTTAAGAGTTGTAAAATGAGGATAAATGAAAATTATCAAACCCAGAGTTTCTTGAGATGTGATCATTTTCAGTTCTTTGCAGAGCAGCTAGAACTATGAAAATATTAGGGAATCTGGAAGGACTGCAAAAAGCGAGTCCTCAACATGACCCAGGGGCCCCAGCAACAGTAAGAGAAGATGACTAGCAGGTACTCACTTCAGCTGGAGAAACAGCATTTTCTTCATGATGGATCTTGCTGCTTTATCAGCCCAAGCCTGTGGCATGTAAAGGTACCACATCCACCCTGCAAAAGCAGCAGCAATTAACACAAAATGAAAAGGCCAACAGCAATGAAGTTTGTCGTAGTAATTACTTTGACCCCATCATACCCTGCAAGAGCAACTGCCTGTTTGTTCAGCATCTACTTCAGCGTGTTTCCCCATTAGCATCACATACAGTCAGGCTCACATTTTTCATTTTGCTGTCGGCTATTTAAGAGAGGAATTTATTTTCTTGTCAGAATTTAAATTCTAAAAATTATTATTAGTGCAACAAGGCAAGTTAGTTCAATAATAAATTCATTAAATAGGATGCACACTGTACTGTAAGTTACAGTAGAGTTTCAGTGTTTTATAATTATACTATCCCAAACCTATAGCAAATAATTTGGAAGCAGATGTTACTGCAGGTTAGTGCAGTCTGTCAGTCAAGGTTATTACGTATGTTTTATTTACGCTTTCTGGTATTAAAAACATTTTTTTTAGAACAAAACTTGCCATTCTTACTGGGATTGTTTAGTCTGTTGGTGTATGGTTTTAAGTGAATTTTACACCCTAAATCCACTATTAGGATCTAATTACATGGGGCTGCCTTGTTTGACCTCGGCTTTTTGTTCTTGTTGCCTCTTCCAGTAGGGTGGTCTTCAGCTGACATACCTGAAAGGCCAGACCTCCCATTGCTGCGCTCACGGTTGGCTGTTTTCAAGTATGGAAAAGGGTCAAGACTGCGTTTGGTTACTGGTGAAAGTAACCAGAAAACTATAAAATACTTTTGTCAATTGGCACGCAGTTGAAATTAAACAGACTGTGGCCAAGGGATATAGTTTTTTGGTAACGCTTTCTAGAAACATGGGATAATTTTCATTCAGGCAAAGTTTTTGAGTTTTGTTGGTTTTCAGTCTCACACCATTGCAGGCTTTTAAGTTAAAAATAATGAGTTACTTCCACAAAGGAGCACTGCAGCTCTTGTTACCAGTTCATGCTAATTTCACATTACACATTACACATTAAAATTCCGTGGATTTGGCAAACTTTCATGCAAGGCTTTATTAACAAAATATTAATTGCTATTCACATGCCAAATTTTTTTGCATGCTAATATTTTGTTGCTCCTTTTAATGACTCCCCCTTGGTATGTGCCATAGAAATACCTCAGTTACAGGTGTAAACCCTAGCACAATAAGCTTTCTAGAACACAAAATAAAGATGCTACAGGTGGGCTATAAGCGTCAGATATAAAGTCAGTCATCAAAGTATTGATTTGTCACATCTTAGAAATTAATTACTTAGTAACAGAATCCCTGTGAGAGGTGGCCCCTGGCAGACTAATCAATTTGCAGAGAGCCTTCCAATCATGGGGCAGTGTAAAAGAACAAAATTATCATTCCTTGTGGTAGCCCCTTGCTGGAAATAAATAACTTCATGCAAAAACCAGTCTTCTTCTGCTACTGGTCATTTGTAAGCTGCTGCGAGCTTATGAAATTATTCTTTTATTCTAAATAATAAATGTTAAATTAAGATGGCAGGATTTTAATTCTTTTGATCTTTGTAGAGAACTACTGCATAATCAAAGTGCTCTCAAACATAATCATGACCCTGATTTCCTTGTCTCAAATATAGCTTAAGAAAGAAACCTTCTACTTGGCTATTGCTAGCAGTAGAAGAAAATTCAAAAGAAGTGGGCGGGTTAAAACATTAGAGGCTCAGAGGATCAGGGTAATCCAGAGAACCCTTTGTATTAGTCCTCAGTACTCAGCAATGGGAAAGTCCTATCCTAAACCAATCTCTTACACGCAATAAAAATGAGGTGTTAAACTGAGGTGATATATGCTGAATTGATAAATATGATCAACACAGAGGTTCTGAATCTGTCCATCATCAAGGCAGTTTGAAACACAGAACTCAAGGTATCACAGGCAACTTTTGTTCAATTCCTCCAAATACTTCTTGTCAATAACTAAATAGCGTCCCATTAAAGCCCAGAATAAAATAACCCTTCTCTTTGTAACAAGGTTGGTATAAAGATACATTAGTACTTGGGAGCTGTTAGAGAATGAAGTGATAAATCAGAACAGAAAAGTTAAAAATGAATGTAAATACCAAGTGTGTGAGGTGCTGCAAAATACACATATCTGCCTTTTACCAAAACCGAGTAAAGTGGAGAGTACAGGTAACAGCATGTTTAGCTTTGAGAATGGAGGGGATGTGGGGAAACCCTAAGAGTTACAAACACATAACAACAGCACCAGGTAAATTAGTTCAACTAGCAGACAAAATAAGACTTTCTGAAGTTAAAGTTGTGTCTCTGAAAAATATATCTAAAATATAATATAAAAAGAAAGTCAAAAAAATATTATCACAAGTAAACTAATTAGGAACTAATGAGAAAGTACAGGGAGAAAGACTTAAGTACTTCTCAAATAAAAGGTAGGTGTCCTGAAGGCCAGGGCAAATACTAGCATCTTATAAATGATCTTTGTGACCAAAAAAGAAAACATTTTTTTTTCTATTTTTCTACTTTCTATTTTTTCGGTCTTGCTTTCTGTTCCTACAAATACATACTAATATCAGCCACAACAACATTGATGAGTACACAGGAGAAATAGCTAGATAAGGAGTGATATAGAAAATGTGTATAGGTCCAAACATTCTGGTTAGTCAATAACAGAGAAAATATGAGACAAATCCATTAGAAAAGAAAAAGTAATAATTTTCAAGCACGATGAGAGGAGAAAATCAGCTGTGGACAATATTAAAAATGCATATTTAAGTAAGAAAGATCTGTTGATAAGTTCGTATCAGCTGTAATTTAAACATTACCAGCTGCTCTTTGAAAACCATAGACAGGGACAGACCAAAAGTAAGAAAATAAACGTTGGAAGGTGGCAGAACAGCCATAACAGGGCTTTGTAAGTCTTCTTTTAGAATATTTCGATTGTGGTCATTTTTATCTCCAAGCAAAATATACATAAAATGAGATTTAAGGAGAGTACTCAAACTGACAGACAACGCAAAAGATTTCCATTTAAAAGATAGGACTAAACCCAGAAAAATTTCTAGGGCAGTCACACAGTGCTGTCTCCCCTATGAAATTTTAAGCATTTGCCACTGTGGATGCCAGGATTCCAAAGGGGATGAATAATTCTTTTGCCCAGGATGGCTCACTGGAGCCAGCAGGTGATTTTTAAGGAAGAGGGCAGAGCTTAAGTAAGTGTCCTTGCACACGTAAGAGGACTTCCTCTTCCTCTCCTTTTAACACCTTATAGATCTGGATTTCAATATGTTTCATATCAACAGCCAGAATTGCTGTTTTCCGTTGGATTGAAACTTGAACTTGATTCAAACCATCTCACTCCTCTTTGGTGCCCCTCCAGGGTATGCAATTCCGCTTATCATCCTTTCCATCATCACCTTCTGGGATTTCCGCTATCGGGGAGTATTTCCAAACAGACTGATTTCAAACACTAAGGGACAATATCTAGGTCATACCTCATCTTGACTTTTGTTCGGGCTCTTTACAAAAACATTGGTGATTTTATTTTTTAATATGAGTGCTTGACGGGATGATAGAAGAACATTTATGAATGTGTAGTGCTCTTGAAGACTTTAATTACTATGTAAATAGAAACTCGGAAACATACGGTCTTAGACTAATCTGCATCAAGATACTCGGTTCTGGTGGGCTATAGATATACTCTGAAGCTACTACTGGAAACTGTGTAGAATGAGCCAATTTTGGTGGTGAATGCTCCCACCAACCCAGGTGGGCCATATGATTTCTTTCTGTTCAGAAAGTTACTATCCCTTAAGTCATTTGAGGGAATGGAAAGCCAGAATTAATGTCTAATTATGTTTAGTTTAGCCGGAGCATGCAAAATTCTTATCTCATTTACCAACCCACATGCAGTTACTATTCCCATAAGAGACACTAAAGAGAAATTAGAGCTTTTTGCGAATACCAGTCTAGAGAGTTTCACTTTACAGAAGTACTTCACAA